TGCTGGTGTTGTAGTGCCTTTTTTCAACTAAGTCAAGATGCAAAGATGGGAAAGAAGATCCATTTAAGTTTATGGGGGAGTTTTGTTGGATAAACATAAATGGGGCCCACACCCTAAATTAAGGGTCAATGTTTTGCTCCATGTTTTCAGCTTTGTTGGTTGGTGTTTTGTGAAGCTCTTCTATAAAAAGGTAGAAGCAAAGAAGGTGAAAGACACCAACAGAGAAGCAAAAACACAAACCATCGTGAGAGAAGTGAAGTCACGGTGAAGCAGAGGAAAACTAGAGAGAGTGTGTTTTTGTGAGTGTGAGAGTTTTGTATACCATCCGAGAGGGTGAGATATTTATAGAGAGATCCTCAAAGAGTGAGAGAAACATTGTAATCCTACTTTCATAATGGAGATAATTTTTTGGACTAGATCCCGTGGTATTTTCCGAGAGGATTTTCCACGTTAAAATTTTCCGGTGTTATTTTATCTACGCTTTCATTTTTTACACTTTCGCATAGTGCCCATTTTAAGTTCACATGTATGAGAAAACAAGTACAGCTATTTCCCAACATTAACTTCAATTTACTAAGACAACACTGTTCTGATTTGATTTGATGGCGAGTCTGTTTCATGCACTAATATGAGTAAAAGGACTCAAAACTACTAAGGTGACAAAAACTACAAAGTTACTACGGGCCAAGAAGAAAATTTTATTTCAACTTACAACAATTTCAAAGGATTGATAAAGCCAATTTCCTTCGGTATACTCCCAATTATGTCATTCCACATAAAGTCCCTTCGAAGAATATAAAGTAAAAGCTTTATTATTAGAAGAAAGCAATTGCGATTGGAATAATGGAAATATCCAAATGAAAAACTGTGGAATATAGCAACTGCAAAATTGAGAATGTTGGTATGTAATTAGAAACATCAATGTAGGTACAGCCTTACAACACTTCCAGATAAGATAAGCGGCCAATCTCTGGTGCCAAAGTTCCAGACAAGTTCATGTTCAGTAAATGCCTACAGGAAAATATAAAGTTTGAAACTTGGAGCAAGAAAATGATGACTTATACATGTTAACATGGCTTATAGAGAAGAAGAAATTGAAAGTGGAGAATTAAAGTCATACAGTTGTTTAACATGTAGATACCCGTCGACTAATGTTGTATCAGAACACATGACTCCTGTCCAGTTAGATGTGCATGGATCTCCACCATCCCAGTTGCTCAAATTTCCATTAATGTCGATCAAATTTCCCTTTATCATTCTTAACGCCTCAACTGCAACATAATCATATAAATCACATATTATGAATAAAAACCTATGAAAAAACATTACACATTGTGTCCAGCAGCAGTTCAATATAACTTGAATTTGTTTAGGTGAAATGATTAGGGATAACACGAGCACCTATAGTTTAATATAACTACTGCACAAAATGTTCATATAGATAAACTTGTAAGTTTAAGAGTTATCTAAAAAAGCAAGAGAATCTTTTAATAATTTTCCGTACTCATTATTTTTTTTATAATAAGCAGTAAATTCATCAAACCTAAATCACCTTTCGAAAGGAATAAAATATTAGGTTTAAAATTTTCATTAAGTCTATAAGTCAATAAAATTTCATAATTTATTGCGCAAGTTTATTTTATTTTCTTCTTGTTAGACAATTTTATTTTTCTACACCCACGCGTGAAGTCCAATCGATTTTCATATTATTAATATGAATCCTGATAAGTGGAGACTTTTTTCCTCTTCGTGACAGTTGACTTCACCACTCAATAAATAAACTTAACTTGACCATTATTTAATTTTACATCTTTTAGAAAAAATGGACAAATAGTTAATAGTTTCTGTTTATATTGAGATTTCTCCTTTCCCCAATTAAATCTCAATTTTAATTTTAATTTTAATTTACAATTTTTTTTCGTCAACAAAGATATATATATATATATATATATATATAGATATATATATATATATATATATATATATATTTAGATGCTTCAATCCATATATACAAAAAATATATTATAATCTTTGTTCAATATTAGATCATCATACACATGATAAATTTTAAATTTAAATAAAAAAAATCCTTCTCCAATTCTTCCAGACGATTTTAGCAAGTTAAAGCTCAGGTAGATACAAGTATATGCTTATCTTCTAACTTCCCCCATTAGACATTGTTATAAAGCGTGTATGTTTTTTTTCCTACAGAGGAGATTTTGTTTTTAATATGTTTAGTGGGTGAATCTGAATATTGCTATTTATAGGAGCCATAAGACATCATGTTTGCAAAAACATACGTGAAAATTACATTATTATTTCATTGATTAAAATTTGATAAAAAAAATAAATAAAATAAATGATAAGTTTTTTTTTTTTGGTTTCTCTAGTCTTGTATAGTTTGAACAAATTTTAATCAATAAAGAATAAAAGAATGTTATTAGAAGAATTGTTGCTATGCATAGTTGAAGAAAATAAATGTTTTTGGTAGCAGACACTTTGAAACCCTAACGTATATCAGTTCCAGAAACGGTAATGAATCATTAAAAAGATGGTAATTGAATACAAATTTGAAAAAATATGGAAATCAAAATAAAAGTTATACCTTCAGTGGGATCAGTGATCAAAGCAGTCGCGAATAAAAAGTAGCAGTATAAACACAAACTCAGCAGAACAACTTGTTCACACTTACAACCTTTCGAAAGATACATCTCAGCTGAAACGGCAAAACCAATTCAATATTTTCCCCCTGAACTTTGCAAAATCTATTCAACAACAAACCAGTTACAGACATTCAATATATGAATGCACAATCTAAGTGCAAAAATGTCATGCACAGCAGCAGCTCTCAAAACCATACTGGTTTGGTGTTTTACCTTAGAACGGGAAACGGATCGTAAAGCTCTTGCTGGAAGAACACATCAACAGGTCAAATGAAAAATGTTTGTTATAACTTGCAAATAATGTTAGGATTCTTGAGAAGCAACATGTGGAGTTATATAATGTAATAAGAAGAGTGTATCAGCGTTGAAAACTTCGTACGGTAGATAGTGTGTAAAGCTAAACTTCTGAATGGTCGCCATTGCAACGAGGAATCGTTAGTGTACTTGTCAAAGAAGGCCATCACTTTCGTCACTGTGGCTTGCTCTTCGACGAGTAACTTGCCTGAGAAAAACAGCAAAACTGAATTAATAAGGTAAAAAAATAGAAAAAGTAATACCACAGCTAATTTAATAGTCTCAAATTAAAAGAAGTATTCAATGTCGAATTTCTATTTTAATCTGTATGTAACATGAAATTAGTTTATGACGAGTCATTTAAAAAAAGACTCCTAACTATGACCATTTTGATTGTCTCAGTCATTTGATTTCTATTCTATATCTGTCATGATGAGATTATAGCTCCTAAAAAGGTTTTATAGGAAATTAGTCTTTAAATTGGTTTCTATAGTTTTTTATTATTTTTATCTTTTTTTTTTGTAGTGAGTTGGTTTGTTAAAAAATCTTATATTTTTTTTTTTTTTTTTTAAGAGACTGAAAATTTAATTCTTGTAAGAAAATGTTCATTTCATTTACCATTTGTCCTATAAATTGGAGATTCTCTTGAATTAGGGATGATAGTAATTGAATTAATTTCTAATAATTAATGGGGTTTTAATTATTCCCTCTGGGCTTTGAGTACTTTTGTACGCGTAGTTTTGTTTAATTATATTTCAACTATTATTGTTTTATATAAAGGAATCACATGTTGTTATTACACAATTAATATGAAAAAAACGTCAGCATGTACCAGCATATACGTACCATGTACCAATGAAGAGTAAAAAGAAATCCATTGAAAACTAACGACATTCACTTTTCTTTAAAAAAAAAAAAAGATTTAAACGAAGTAATCTACTTCAAGTTGGCGAATATATTTCAAATAATACATCCAATTATCCACTTGATAATTATTATATTTATGATTGAGACAAATCTATATTAAATACATATTCAATGTTTGACTTGATCATGAAGTTATTAACTAGCTTCAAACTTGATTTAATTTAAACTAGAAAAGGCCAATCGGGACATTTTAAATGAGGAAAATTAGCTACGAAGCACTGAAGAATGAAGTTTCCTTCTTGATGAAATCACTCATTACTTTCTGCACTTCGATGTTTTCTTGGTGTACAGCTATATCATTGTATTGAGTGATTTGCTATTAGTTTTTCAATTTAAGTTTTGAATTGAACTGTTGCAAATTTTGAGTTAGCATTCTCAAGACTAGAAAATTCTAAGCCACTAGATATTCGAAAAGGCTTAACAAGTTCTTATGTTTGTCTTGAATTAAGTTACAATAATTTCACAAATCCATTAGCCCAATGTGTGAGTCTAAGTCTCACATTGGATAGAAATGAAAAAATAGAGTGGTTTATAAGTGGAAAGACCCGTTAACCCATTATCTTAAGGTTTTGGGTAAAGAGTGATGTCAATCTTTTATAAGGTTTTGGAGACATACTCATTTCTCTTAAGGCATGTCACTTTTTTTCCTAACTTACTTCACGAAGCAATCATTGAAATCCATGTCTAAAGGCTAGAAAAGAAAAACTTTTGCATGAAATATACACATCAGTAACATCAAATGTACAAAGTTAATTAACTTTTACAAAAATTAAATATACATAATTAATTTGAACTTAAATTAGTTTTAATTTTTATTATTAAAAGTAATTATTGACAAGTTTTTCAAGTTGATTATTTGTAATTGGTTGGTTTAAATTTGCTTTGATGAAATGAACACTGTTGGGATTCCAAGTGTGAGTTTAAGTCCCACATTGGAGAGAAATGAGAAAGTAGAGTGGTTTATAAGTGGGAAGACACATTAACTCATTGCCTTAAGGTTTGGTGAAAGTGGTGTCAACTACTTATAAGATTAGACTCACATCTCATTGCTCATTGACTTCCCGGTCAAAAACCTCCCCCTTGATACTCCTTTAAACACTTCTCGGCAGCTGTAATCAAATTTGAAGAGTCTAAATATTATATCTTTAATCATGTCAAGAAA